ATACACATGCACAGACATTATTTCATACACGACATAGTCGTGAGATGCAAGAAATCTGTAGACGCGCCCATAACAACAAAAGACAATACTTTATTGAACCTTTTCTGATAAGAAGTGTGCGCTGCAAACGCGAGCATTTTTGACGATCGTTTCTGTCCAGTCTGCTCGTTTTATCGTGTTTAACCACAGCTGTCATCGTTTTTTTTGTCTGGCAGTGGCAGCAGATATGCGATCAAATTTCTAATTTGAGGCTGTATTACGTGGATTCTGGCACCCAACATCACAACAAGATGATATTTTAAGCTCCATATGTAGCCGAATCTGCTCTGGTTTGAATGGGCCGCCTCCAGTTACCCCTTTGTTGTGCTGCCTCCAGCTAGCGCTGTGACGTCGCTGACCCTAGTTACCTGTGGTTGGCCTGGCCGTGCGTCACTCAGAAAACAACAGGCCAATCAGAAGAGAGGCTCATGAATATTAATTAGACGGGCCAAAATCGACCTGTTCTCAGCAGAGCTCCTGAGAAAGGAGCTGTAAAAATATATTGAGATGGTTTTTGGTACTTATACCGCAAATATATATTCTTAAGGACATCAAAACCTAAAATAAAACTCCAGAAAGGTGTAAAATATGTGACCTTTAACATGTTCCTTGAGTTTCACTTATAACGTTAATGAAGTTTTTTTGCACAGGAAACTAATATGTATGTGGAAAAACGATCATTTTCAACCCTCATTCTGACCCGGTGTCTGAAATTATTGGCTTTTAAGGGGCGGGTCCTTTAAGGCTTGTCAGTAAATGCCCACTGTTTTGATTGGCTAACATAATTGCATAGAAAACTGTCTCAAGCCCCCCTCACTATTCCTCGTGAGTAAGATCCCCAACATCCAAACAAGCCGTTTTTGGAGCTTGATTAAATAAAGGCTTGGTTTAGAATGAGGAGGATGTTTTAACTTGCAGAATGGTTTAATGGTACAAAGACCTCTTATATTTCAAAAAAATCAAGGCAAATTTGATTTCGGATGTCATGACCGCTTTAATAGATCGTGCTTGATGTAATTCAGCTCGTCCGATCCTGCTCCGTGAGGGCCAGCGTCCTGCAGAGTTTAGCTCCAACACACTGGCCTGGAAGTTTCTAGTGAGTCTGCAGACCTGGATTACTTTGGTTCAGGAGTGTTTAATTCGAGTTGGAGCTAAACTCTGCAGGACAGGGGCCCTCCAGGAGCAGGTTTGGACACCTCTCTATTAGACCTGTTTATCAGTCACTCAAATGGTTTGTGTGTTTCAGTATCTCTAACCTGGGGATGTTTGGTATCAGTGAGTTCAGTGCGGTCATCAATCCTCCTCAAGCCTGCATCTTAGCCGTGGGCGGCACCAGGGCTGAGCTGAGGTTGGCCCCCCAGAACCCAGATGGCCCCGTTCTCCGCACTCAGCAGCTAATGACGGTGACTTTGTCTAGCGACGGGCGTCTAGTGGATGACGAACTTGCCTCACGCTTTCTGGAAAAATTTCGCACAAACCTAGAGCAGCCTCAGCGTGTGAGTGTGCCATAGAGAGAGGAAGTGTTGGGACTGAATGCGCTCTGGTGTTATGGGGCTTTTCTTATACATGCTATTTATTGGTTAAGATGTACATAGACAAGTGATTCAAGGTCAGAGAAACACTTTGAAGCCCTAGGTCAATTAATAATATCATTTACAGCACTTCTACCATAAATGGAATGGAATGTTCTGGTTATTTTGGAGTGAGAAGCATTCAGTGTACTGCGTAAACGTAAATCATGTGGCAGTGTTAAGGCACCTTTATAGTGGACAATATGTTAGGACACTCTTTTTTGGACTGCCCAATAATCCAATAAACTCATGTCTTCTGCTGCACTGAATCAGAGTCATTTTTTGCTGTTTTCTGTTCTTTTACATGCTTGTTGGCGCACTGATCACTTGATCAAAACTTTAGCCGGGCAGGTTTACTCCGAGTAAACAGGTAAACTCAGCTTTCCGTTATTGTGCTCAACTGCATACACTTCTGACACTAATATCAGTATGAAAAGGATGCAGTAATTTGGCACAGAGGTTTCTGGATTACAGTCTCAAATGCACCTGATATCCCACCATGTTCTGCATCTCGATCAACTCAATGAGTCGGTCTCCTGTCATATTCAGCAAAATCTAACATCTTTACTGATCGTTTTAGTTTTGGCTAAACTTAAGTGGTTAATAAAAAAAATTACGCACAGCTGGCTCAAGCTTTAAGGTGAAAGCTGAGATCTGTTTAAGTATATTCCTGAGTCTTTCCTTTGCTTCTTGAGTATCTGAAAATTAGGGTTGGAAAGAATGGTTATTCTTTTGTGTAGCACCATCCGCTGACTGTGACGTTATGTACGAAAAGCTGTAAAAGACACAGGCGCGAGTGGAATGTACAAAACATGGTGACATTAATTCTTAAGTAAATATAATGGGCGATATATTGCGTCACCAAAAATGATTGAGGTCATGTACATATATTGCGCGATAAGTCGATATATTGATTATTGCGACAGGCCTAGTCACTGTACTGCTGCACCATTTTATGACGCGACGGTGGGCAGTTTGGAGAATTAAAAATCTCTACATCAACAGTTTGGCAGAACAACATCACATCATATCAAAATTCTGTCTAGTTTTTGTTTTTATTTCAAACAAGTCTTGGAACGTTGTGGGAACTTGTATTTAGGATGTCTGAAATACTTGTGCATTTAATGTATTTTTTATATATTAAAAAAATAATCACATGTATAAAGATGAATAACATAGATAAAACAATGTAGAGATTAAAGTATAAAAGTGCAATATATATAGTACGTTAATGTGAAAATATAAGCACAAGAAAAATGGGCTTATTGTAAACCAATAACAAAAAAAACAAAAACTCTATCCACAATCAACTAAATGCAGAGTTCTGTCCTGAAACTCTAGATGGCGCAGGCTGACAGGTCCCAACTCAGTCTGATATAATCACAGCATTATTATTCACATGGCGCAGCTGATTGGTTTTAGTTGCATCAGTAGCCATGAGCTGCTCAGCAGTCAAATACTCTGCTAGTACTTGCAGCGCGCTTCAGAAAGCGTCTGAAATCAACAAGATGTTTCTCAACGGGGTGTTCAGAGTCAGAGAGCATCGGGGGCGCTGAAAGCAGAGGTGTTCTTGGGGGGCGTTTGGTTAAAGGGGTCATATGATGCTGCTAAAAAGAACATTATTTGGTGTATTTGGTGTAATGAAATGTGTTTATGCGGTTTAAGGTTCAAAAAACACATTATTTTCCACATACTGTACATTATTGTTTCTCCTCTATGCCCCGCCTTTTTGAAACGCGTCGATTTTTACAAAGCTCATCGGTCTGAAAAAGCAAGGTGTGCTGTGATTGGCCAGCAACGGTCCTCCATAAAATGTGCTGCACACATCTGAATATTTGGGTTAAACTGTTCTGGAACAGTGTTGTAAATACAACTTAACCACTGATTT